AAATGAAAAAAATGACATGAAAATAAAATGAAAATGATGCTTCAAGGTCATAAAAAAATGCATACGAAACTCACCTTGCAGTCGGTTGCAAGATGCCCTCCGATCCTGAAGATCTCTCCATGTGATTCTGACACCAAAGGTTGAACTCGGCTTGGCAGCATCAGCATTTTCAAAGACAGCAGACAGTTCAAAAGTTCACTCATCACTCACGACACAACCAAGAATGTTTTATCAACTCAAAATCCACAAACTCTAAACACACACTAAAAAATTCACAAAATCACTTGCACTGAGTCCCGCACTTTGTATTTATGAGAAAAGTAATCCTTCGAATTTAATTCGCACTGTCACTTCACTCCGTATCTAAACACACACTAAAAAATTCACAAAATCACTTGCACTGAGTCCCGCACTTTGTATTTTCAATGTTCACAGGCAGCGCCGGTTTTTTGCGCTCACTAGGACCCCGATATTAACGGAATTTAAGTACGCGACGCGTGACTAGTTGCTCGACGCGCGGTCGCGGAACGACTGACTCCCCACCTGAAAATGGCAGGGCTTTGGAGGCGACGCTCGAGTGGGGGGGGTTCCCCCGGCGAGACTCCCCGCATGCGCACAGAGCGCCCCGCATGCGCACAGAAGACCGCTCCAGTGGGGGGGTCGCCAGGCGATACTCCGTGCATACGCCATTCGCACGTACACCGTCCGAGCGCACAGACCACCGCGCGCAGTCTCAATTTGACGAAATACGATAATTGCGAAAATTCTTAACCTAATAAATAATTCTCTCTTTCAAAAAACAGTGCAATCACGTAAAATCCAATAGTCAGTGAAAAATAATTGATTGAAGATAATTTAGCGTGTGGATTTTGCTCTTGACCATCAAAAACACTTCGATTGGATCTCTGAAACGGGAATGGGAGTATCAGATACATTGAAATCATCTGGAAGAACACGTGTTGCTCCAAATTGTAATTGTTTCAATTATTTTTTCCATTTTTACCAATTATTAATTGAAGATTTCTCGACCTAATGTTCTATGTCATTGGATTGGGACTCGGTGATGCGACCGACGTCACTGTGAAGGGGTTAGAAATAATAAAGAGATGTGAGAGAGTTTTTTTGGAGTCATACACCTCGATATTGACAGTTGGAGCTGATGCTTTGGTAAGAAAAAATTCTTTTCATTAAAATAACTTCAATATAATAATAATATTATAGTCTAATAATTCCTT